GAGCATCTTACACGATTTGCGAAAAATTTTTTCTGTCAATAGTGGGTAGAGTTACCCCATGGCGGATGGCGGAAGTTTGAATGTGGCAGATTTCTGGTAATCTGGAAAACCATTGATAATTCTATGTGTTTTAGCGTTGCAGTGAACTGGTAATTCAAGCTTGCGCATCGGGCAGCAATGGCACTAAGTTATGCGGAAGCGCTTTCGCCTTATCAAAATAAAGGAATTTTGGGACTTCCAGAAGTAAGTTTATTGCTTTGCTAGGGCTTTCTGGAACTGTTGGAATATTGATGTGAACATGAAAAAAGTACAGAATTTGCTTCTTGTGTGAAATTTTGACGCCGTATTTTTGCTTTTTTCCAGGTTACCGAAGATTTAGCTGCGCTGGAACGAAAAGTCGGCGAGTTGGCCGAACTGCTATTGAAAAGCCGTTGTTGTGTGGTACATACTGGTGCCGGAATCAGTACCGCTGCCGGTATCCCGGATTTTCGTGGTCCAAAAGGTGTGTGGACATTGGAAGCAAAGAACGAGAAATACGATGAAAAAGCAGCTATCGACTTTGCGGATGCACACCCCACATATACGCATTATGCAATCAATGCACTGGAAAGTAGAAATATCGTTAAGTGAGTTAGAATTTGTTTGACGCAGTAGGTGAAGCTCAGAGCTCTCCTTATTACTTCATTCGACCTGTTCCTTACCTTATTCGGTCTCTACTCAGCTTTACCTAAGCATCAGCTTCGTAAATGGCAAAATGCCCTATTGACGACGGGTTTTTATAGGACAATTTCTACTCGCATAGGCTAGTTTTTCTTTGCTTTTATTCGTAGGTTCGGATTTTTTCGACTTCAGGTGAACGGGTAATCTGACCCAAGAACAGTTGACTGCTTTATATTTGGCATCAGTACGAAAATGCAGTTTTAATTCAAATTTTATGACGTAAGGGTTGATCGCAACAAAATAGCCGCTAACTGTAGTCGTGGGCCTCATTCCCCTCCCTCCCCCTCCTCCATTACGCTCCTCCCTCGCCCCGTTCCCTCCTTCTCAGAAGATCGTCCTAAATCCACTCATGGTCTTCAGTTTCGGCTTCTGAAATAGCGTACAGACTAGCATTGGTCCATGTATAGCGACGGTCTTTTGTCCAGGCGTCAGGCTGGCCGTAGGTGTGAAATAGTAGAGTGGAAGGATTGGTCTTGAAGTGTTATGTGCGAAGGATATTCTTCTGTGTGGTAAATCTGTGTTTCA